GTGACGGGGATTCGAACCCGTGACCCGCAGATTGCGAGTCAAGCGCCCTAACCTTCTGGCCATGCCGGACCCATTTATGAAGTAGTTGAAGATTTGTAATTAATTACAAGGCTATCAATGAGACAATGTTAGGTTATGCCTAATTTATTAATTGATTTGAAGAGAGTTAAAGCGTTTTACATTTTATAACTAGTTATTAATTGTTTTCTTGGAAAACATTTTTCATATTTTACTTATGTTTAAAACTAATAAAAAAAAGATAACGTCTTTGGGAAATAATATATGATGTTATATTACCAAAATACTTACCACAAATTATATCCAATGTGCAGAGTGTAACCATGGAAGTTATATCAATGTCTTTGCCGTCCATCAGCTTTAGTTTTTTAAGAAGAATTCTTGACTGTTTGTTAAACACAGGCACGAAACTGTCCAAGATACGGAAATGAAAAGAAGGCGTCAAAAGCTTCCGTCTCGTTTTCCACTTGTTACCTGAACTAACCATTCAGTAAAAAAAAATAATGTTTTTTTAATAATTATAAAAATGAAAGAAATATTTGATTATTTCACAAACTAATTTTATGACTTTTATATATGTTTCTCAGGGAATTTTAAGAAAGAAGAAGCAAAAGGATTTATGACTTAAACAAAATTCTGAAGGAAATGTGAAATAGTTGGCTCCTTAATATATGATAATTATTGTTGTCTATGAAAGCACTGTGTTATAACACTCGTTAAGTGAAGGATAAACATTTTACTCCCTTTATTTATTTATTTTTACATCAGTATATCACACCTTGTATGTTATTAAATGTCTCAACCAAGCAAATCAAATTTTCAACCAACGTCCCTGTATTCCTTCTGTCGATTTGTTTGTTTTGAATTTCGCGCTAAGCTACACGAGGGTTATGTGCACTAGCCGTCCCTAATTTAGCAGTGAAAGACTAGAGGTATAGTCATCGCCACTCACCACCAACGCGCTTGGGCTACTCTTTTACCAACGAATAGTGGCATTGACTGTAACATTATAATGTTCCCACGGCCGAAAGAGCAAGTAGCTTGGTGGGACAGGGATTCGAACCTGCAACCCTCAGATTGCGAGTCAAGAGCCCTAACCACCTGGCCATGTCCTTCTGTCGAAACACTGATGCAATTCTTTTTACGTTTTGCTAATCACCGAAACAGGTTTATACACGTTATCTTATACTGTTTGATTAGTGAGTGCTACAACATAAAAAAGGAATCAACATAGATTAAAATTGTGAAATAATCCCAATAATGAGATGTACAATGTGTACGAACGACGTTTTTACTTTAGGAAGATATTTTATTTTATATCAAGAATTAATCATATAAAATTAACCCGTTTTGTAGTTGGTGTTGTTCTATTTTTAGCTGAAAGCTCACAATGAGCTAACTGTACATTGTCCACCGCGTGGAATCGAACCCCAGATTTTAGCGTCGTAAGTCCGTAAACTTATCGCTGACCTAATTTTGTAACACCTTATATAACACTCAGAATTTTTGCTAGTATTTGTCTATTTACGATCTCTTTCTTTTTTTAGACAATTTAAGTCATTGGAAGGCAAATTTTTGTAATGCTTTGATGACATTTGGTTTAATACTTATAACAGAAATTATGACGGAAACATTTTTTGTGAGGTAGCATTAAAATATATTTTATTGAGAAAATGTATTAGAATTTTATTCCGTGAATTTCTCTTGGAACATAAGGTGCAATATCTAATAAATCTAAATTCAAAGTATCTTGAAGAAAACTAGTGTTGTCATAGTAACAGAAGTGTCGTACGTTCAAAGCGTTTAAAAAAAAAGTTCATTTGCAGATTCACGTTTAGTGCGACCCAAAGCTGCAACAGATGGGCAGTTACGTCGTCAGTTGATTTAATATCAACTAGCCAGCACAGAAAAGGGAATGCATTAAAATATTGAGGAAAGTAAAAATCAAGGAGTTTTTACTGACATTTAAGCTAAATACTTAAATGTTCGTTATCTGTTGAATTGATACGGTCAGTTCAAAAAACAGAGGCTAAGAAACAATGTTTTACGTTAATTAAAGTATCTAAAACTAAAGATCTTGGAAATATTTTTATTTAGAAAACTTGAAGTTAATGATAATGTTCTCTATTTTGTAAACGACATCTTAAACTTCTTACATATTTTCTTTTGCGAAAACTATATCTAATTCTTTTCAGACATTACAGCAGGTCCAGATTCAGAGATTACGCTCTGTCTTTAAACAGAAATTACAGAATAAATATCAGTGACTAAACCTAATCTTAACACAGAGACTACAGCATATCTTCTGCAAAAACTATATTTGGTCCACTGCTCGAGCCTATAGAGTATTATTCTTCATAAACTGCACCTATCAGATGATTTATTAATAGTTATTATAGAGATTACTATTGATTTTACCGTAGAACACATAGTCATATTTTTCAAAATGTTATTGGCACAAAGAGAAAGTAATTACGCATTCATTCACAAACTAAGGATTATTGTTGCAAGAGAAAAGCCCCCCAGTGGCACAGCGGTATGTCTGCGGACTTACAATGCTAGAATCTGGGTTTCGATACCCGTGGTGGACACAAACAGGTAGCCAATTGTGTAGCTTTGT